ATGTAATGCACAATCAACCATGATATTTTTTAATATATTAAAGCTTTCAAGTTTTATTTTTATTCTAATTAATTAATTGAATGGTGGATAATATAATCACATCATATCAAGATCAATGTTGGATGTTTTCTTGTTTTATTTACAATCTAATTAGTTGAATGGTGGATAATAGAACCACATCATATCAAGATCAATTTTAAACTACTGTACACTTAGTCATAATGAGTGAAAGGATCTAGATCTATTGCCATAAGATCAATGATGACAACAATTTGAACTCTATAGCCAAAACAATGTCAAGAGCTTGGAGACTATAGTAAATGCGATATATTTCATTAAGCTCGAGTGGAATAATTTTTTATGCAATCAACCAATTTTAAAAGTTAAAAGGACCCCAAGCCTTTCCTTTTTAACTTGTTAATTGCTATGCAGAGTTCTCTTAAAGAAGAATCTCATTAATGGTCAACAAGTAATGTCTATTCTTTATTGTCCATGTCACTCTCTAATAAAAATACTAGAGAAAGTTTTCATGTATTTAAGTTTTCATTAGTTTTTGTTCATAAGCATATTGTTAAGTAAGTACCTACTCTCATTTTTTTTAAAAATTTAATTGTTGTTTTTAATAGTATGATAACTCATTTTGTCAAATGTCTACAGCCGTTGTTCTTTATATTACACTGTCATCATTATTGTTAGCTGATAGGACCATGAGGCGCATTAAAAGTTTTGACTAGGATTATGATATACGTATACACGTACATATACATATATATAATCCTAATAATAATGATAATAAAATAATAATAATAATAATAATAGCTATTTATTATTATTATTATTATTATTATTATACAATGGTTATTTTTATCCGAATAACTGGGCCTAGTTATTGTGATAAAAAATAGCAATTGTATGGTTATTTTTATCCGAATAACTGGGCCTAGTTATTGTGATAAAAAATAGCAATTGTGATAATGTAATACAAAAAATTATTAACTATTCATATTTTACTCAATCTTAAAACATATTTACAGATATTAAATTCCATAAGAATAAAAAATTTAAACAGAATAACATAATCTAATTTTTTAAATAATATATAAATAAAAACTTGAATTTTTAATTTGTAAAAAAAAAAGATAAATAAATCTATCATGTTCTTTGGGGTAAAAAAAAAAAAATTCCATAGTTTTGCTTTGCTGCCCAGTTACTCTTCTATCTTTTATTATTATTATTATTATTATTTATTTATTTATTTATTTTTCAAAGGAAAGTTCAATATGCTCTTTTAACAGAAGATAAACTATGACGGTAAGTGATTAGTCAACATATAATCATATGCAATATGATTACCCTTACGAAAGATAAAAACTTAATAGTATTTTAAATTACTCTCTTCCAAGTGATAGGACAATAATTTAATATTTTTAATTAAAGCCCAAACTAAATGTCTAAGAATTACTTAGTAAAGTGAAATTTACATAGTAGTACACAATTCTTATGTATTTACATATTTCATATCTAAACATTTATATTTACACACATAATACTTTGGTGAGTTAAAACTATGCATAAAAGGTGTGTTTGATTTTAAACAAGTGATATAGTGCTATTTTTGATATGATGTTAAGGATTTGAGTGATGTGTGTATAAACATGAAAATTCAGATGTAAGATATGTAAATACATGAAAATTGTGTGCTTTTTATGTAAATGCCACCATATTAAAACAAGAAAATCAACCTAAGGCACTTAAGCCTTTGTTAGTTTTATTTCTCTAAAGAATTGCTTAAAGATTATTTTGTTTTCACTTGAAATGAAACACATTTGACATATTTGATTAAGAAATGATTATTTTTAAAACAATCAAAACACCTAAAAGTTATTTTGAATATTCTCAAAATTATATTAATTATTTTTTTATTTTTTTGAAAAATGAAAAAATAAAGAGGCTTTTACATAGAGAGCGCCCAAAACTTTCATATTTACTTATCTCAGATCAAAACTTTCATAATTATAAACATCATATGAAAATTAACACTCATCATCACCTTTTAATAGTCATATTCATTTTTTTATCCATAGGTAGTGCTGTGTGTGTAAAAATGAAACTTTGTGTGAGATGGATAAATCCATAAGAATTGGGTGCTATGATGCAATTTTCCGAGAAATAAAAACATGTAAAAAATACTAAGCAAACATGCTTTTAAAAATGAAAGAAAAAATAAAACTAAAATTGATCCCAAACAAGACCTAAGTCCGCCCTTCATTTTTTTTCTTATGCGAATTAAATTTAAAACAATGTTATAAGGTATAAAGCTATTTAGAACTAAGTGAAATTTTACAAAAACTCACTTGTTGATAGCTTTATATTGAATTTTTTTTATTTTAAATTTTGGTCCATTAAAACATCGATACGAAAAAACTCAACGATAACAAAGATGACCGATCTAGGAGTGAACAAGCTAAAACTAAATATTTGAAGTGTCACTAATAATTTTAGGGTATAAATTGATGAATCAAATAATATCTAAATTTTGTGCTTATAATTGAAATGATAGATTTGATAAGAGAAAGCCAATGAGCTTAAATTAGCTCAATTTTGACATCATTAAGAAAAAAATTATAAGTTAAAATAATAATTAATTATAAAAGAAATTAATATGTCATCCGATATAATATTTCAAATTTTGGTTATGTATTAAAACAGTACTGTCAAAATTAAAATTGTCAAACTTAAAATTGTCAAAATTAAAATTGAAGAATCAAGGACAACTAATGCAGACGACAATGCCAACTAATGCAACAAATGCAACATCCAACATGTTATGTGGGATCTCAATTTGAAATTAGAGAGCTATTAGAGATTTGAAAAACTTAAAATCCCACTGGACAACTAATGCAGGCGAAATTGCCTACAATCACCATTTCATAATTGTCTTTGCTTGACCGTCTTTGCCCAAACACCAGCATTCAAACATTATCCCTTGATTGCTCTTGCTCAATAATCGTCTATGGATCATTGCCGCTTGATTATTATTTCTCAATCATCATTGTTTGACCACCAATATCTAATTGCCTCATATTCCATCGTCTTAAATTAAAAGAAGAGTTAATTTTATAAATTGAAATACATGACATATTATCGTAATTGGGCAGAAGACATAAATCTTTTTTAGGTTTTCTTAAAAAAAATTATATGCTCTTTGGAACACTATTTTTATGTATATGTGAGCTAAATATTTGTACAAAACTAAGGTATGAACCTCTTACTTTATTGCTATGAATGTTTTAATACATAGTAATGTAGCACTAACTATGAGAAATCATTCCTAGCATTTTTCACAAACCTCTTTGATTGTTAATAACTAATATCTCAGTTAACGACATAATAATCTAATAGGTAAAATCCATGCAAGCATTATTTTAAAGTATTAACTTGACAAGATGAATGGTAAACAAGCTCAAAGTTTTAGCTGATTTTATGATAATCTACCTAACAAATATCACCATCATAAAAAGAAAAAAAAAATTGTCGAGCATAAAGTAAATAGTAAACTAAGAGCTAATTGGAGAAACTTAAATAAGTTTTCCTTTTCATCATTCTAAATTTTCTCAACAAAGATAGCTTTCTTAGGATCTTATCGCTAAATTACATGTTGTTATTAAAGATGAACTTTGATATCTGGCTCAAGGAGAATTTTTTCATGGGATTAAAGTTAACTTACTGCTTATTATATTTTTTCAGGAATCCTAATTTTATCAATGTTATTCTTTAGCATTCCATTGTAATGAGTTAGTTTTGTGTTATTGATTTTTGTGATGTTTTTTTTTATTAGTTTGAACACAACAATTATTGTGAGACTACATACATACTGAACAACCTATTTATAAGCCTCAGTACGAAGTCTTCCAATCCTTGTTTGAGACTCAAGCCCATATTTGAATCTATTATGTGTTTGATAAGAGTGTCCATAACTTCATTGAAACCTTCAGAGTGAAATTTATGACCATCCACTCTTTAATTTTTTGTAAATTTATAACCAAACCAAATATCTCCAAAAATGAGTTCAATGATACCGAATGGTTCGATCTGACTTCAAATGAACAAAAATCAAATATTTGAAATTTGGTTAAAAACATCAAATGCATTAAGGAATAGTCAAATGATCTTTGATTTTTTCCTGCTCATAATCAAATAAGTAGCTTAATAAAATTAACCTCAAAACCATAATATCACTTAATTTAAGGTCATTAAGGTATATCAATGCTTAAAGAATGATATACGATCAAAGTAATTGCTAAAGTGTTTTTATTTTTTGCTAAATTATTTAAAATGCACTCTTAAAAATGATAAATATATGCTAAATGAAGAGCTTACATTATATAAGCCTCAAAGAGAAAATAGGTTCCATTAGGCAGTAATTTTTAAATCAAGCACATGGCTAAAAATACATTAAAAAAATAGACCATTATTATATTATTGAGCGCACAAACTAAGAGAAGGTTGATGACTATTTTAAAGCCATTAAGATAAACATTTGACTTTCACATCTATATAAAACATCTTATGAAATATTTTCTTAAGAAAAATCATTTTTAATATCGAATGATTAAGTATATAATATGTGATTATCTTTAATTAAAGAGTCATTAATTATCTCACATTTATCAAAAACTTGAAAAAATATTGAGCCGTCATCCCCAAGCAATCAAGCTCACGCCAACCACATAAAGAAATTATTATTTTTTTAATTAATTAATCTAAATATTCGTTTTTTGTATGATCATCGTTGCGCACAGACAACTGCGGATTTGTCGCGCTGCGTCGTTTGATCGGACGGCTCAGATTGGTTACTGTAGTGGGCTCCACCTTTGGCTGTCACAGTCCGCCGAGTCAGCAAGTTTCGCTTAGCTAGCAGCCACATGCTCTGGCTCAATGTTGATATGTTTAAATTCATTTTTCTTTTAAGCAGTATATTTTTATTTCTCAGAATGGAAAAGATTGCCGGCACTTCACATGAAACTCGGGAGTTCGGGAGCAGAGAAGGTGAGCGGATTCAGTAGAGTGAAGGAGGAAGGAGGAAGGAGGAAGGAGGAAGGAGGGAGGAAGGAGTTGGGGTGGAAATCCTGCTAGCTTTTACCTCTATGATGCGCCGCTTCTAATGAGATCAACTGGTGATGTCTGATCTGTTGCTCGTTTCTTGGGTTGTTTTTTTTTTTTTGTTTTTTTTTTTTAAGAATCTAGATCAATGAATTTTATATGATTGATGTTCTTGAAGCCGTGTTTCGATTCCCGTTTACGTTTTTTCAGGAGAGCGGAAATGACGCGACAATCGTTAGGAATCCGCTCGTGGTGTTAAGAATTTTACTAAGCTTAAGTGCGACTGTTTTGGTCTGTGATCTCCTATCTTATCGGCATTGTTGGAGGTTTTTTCTGGTAGTTGATTTGGTTGAGGGAATAGTTAGTCAGTTGAACAGTGGGGCTGGAAACTAGGTTTTAATTTCCGTTTTGTTTTGACACGCGGAAGAGGATGTACGATGGGTGCAGTTGATGCTTACTGCTGGACTCCGCGGGGGGTGATCGATGAGAGATGGATATGGGTCTTCGTGGAAGTGGCTTTTATGGGGTTGAGATTGCTCTGTAGGGTTGCTTCAGTGCGGGATTCAGTTTTGGAAAACTAGTACTTTCTTGGATTTTAAACATGGATAAGTGCTTGTGGCCCGAGTTATATTTTGGAGTAAAGCTTCCTCAACTTCGTGATACACGGAAAGTGTAATGATTCATGTTTTAGGAATGGAATATAGACATTGTTGTTAGATTGTATTAGAAGAATTGTTGATTGAAAATATGTTAGCCATCAAATTATTGAGATAATATTTGTAGAAACAGTTGCTTGATGTAATTTGGGAGCAGGATATATTCTGTTGGAGGTGAACTGAACTAGTGATGAAAAAAGCTGAGATTCATCTCTATTTGGCTGCTTAGCTGCTGATGCTTATTTAAGTATGAATGGGACTAACCAATCGAAGTAAGACGTTGTCGGAGCTTGTTCATATGATGAAGTCCTGGAGCCCGGGAAGATCAGAGCCGGCATTCAGGGACTTCTGGATGCCAGATGACAGTTGCAGAGTTTGTTATGATTGTGATTCACAATTTACAGTTTTTAACCGCAGACACCATTGCCGTCTATGTGGCCGTATATTTTGTGCCAAGTGTACCTCAAATTTTGTGCCAGTAAATTTTGACGACTCGAGGAATATGCAAGAAGAAAGTGAGCGAAGAATTAGGGTTTGTAACTATTGCTTTAAACAATGGGAGCAAGACCTAGCAGCTAGTAGTATTGCTGCTTCTACCTCCACTCCGGTCCTCAGCCATTCTCTTTCAGCAGCTAGCTTGACTAGCACCCAGTCAAGTGGGACAGCTAGCAGCGGTGCTACGGGTACTGGTCTGGGGCAATACTCTCCTGGTGCTTGTCCGAGTACTAAATATAGCTCTGGTCGAAGTCTTAGTCCGTTCACTCACATCGGGCCTGTTCCTGATAAACAAGATATGATGATGACGGAAGGAAACATGGATTCAGTTGCGGGCATGGGACATCCTCCCTCTAATGACTTCGGCTATTGCATGAACAGGTATCATATTATATTCTCACTTGTTTGTCTTACTATTCTATTGTTGCTGGTCTACGTTCAAGTTTTTTGCAGCCACTAAGGTCTTTCTCAGCGAGGAAATGTCTTGTCTTCCCACCCATATCAATTTTCCTATGTACGTCGTGTATACTTCTCTCTTCTAATAGACTAATCTTGTAATATCATAGGGGAGATCAGAAGCCGTCTTTGGCAGTGGAAAGATGTGCTCTCTAATTACTTTTAGTTTTCTTTTTAGTTGCTCTCTAGAACATGATTGTATCTCTTTTGTTTCATTTCTTGCTTAAAATGAAATTCCTCTTGTTGATACCTTTTAATTTGTCTTTTAAGAATTTACGAAAATTTGTATGCATCATGCTCCCTTGTATTCCTCTCTTTGTTATTGCATGATTTAGTGGAATCATTCATAATTAAGGCACTTTAATATTTTTTTCAGTTCCTTTAAAAGAGCCATTAGCATATAATCATAACTTTGATTGTAGTTATTGTAATAATATATAGTTTTGGTTAAATATATTTATAAATATTTTTGTAAGCTGATTTTTGACTACTGTGTGACTTCTACTTTATTATAAGAAAAAGTGAGCATTTTTGGCGAAGTCACGAAGCAAAAATGAAAAGTTGTGGTTTATAAATGGGCTTTATACTAACATTCTTAGAGTCTTTGAGTTTTTCTTGTGCAGAAAGCTAAACTAGAGCAGGAGCCCAATGTTTCTCACTTCGAGCGGTGAATTTGTCTTTCAAATTCTTTTACTTTCTACATACCATCCAAAGATTTTATTTTGATCCTTCTAACTGTTTGATCTCTTATGTAATTTCTACTTAGTGATGGTCCTTTAAAATATCAATGAAATTATTTCTGTGATCTGCAGGCTCTGTTGTTAAAAACTTTATTCAACTTGCAAGCTCCATCTAACCATAAAGTAAATGATTACAACAACATTGTAACCAATCATTACTTGAACCTTTTTGTTTCTATTTTAGTGGGCCCTTAGGCTTATTACGCCAAAGAAATTTCAACTCAAATGTTATATACCAATATTCCACACAAAATGATATGAGTTAGGAACAGAAATTGGGGCTGACAATTAAATTGTTAAATTGAAACAAGGGATCCTTTTTAAGAAAAAAATAAAGATGAAAAAAAGGTTTTAGGTGGGGATTCCTCATTCAGTCAGTATGAATATAAAATGATGATTCATAAAGTATCTCCAAGTAGTTGGGCTAAGATTAATTATAATTATTAATTGACACAAGCTCAAATAGACTAAACCTAATAATATAAATGAAAAAAATAAATTATTGCTATTCATTCTCCTCGTCGTTTAGCTTTTTGCTTAAAATAAATTTATGGGGATTAGATTTTTTTTTGCTAAACCTCCATAATTTCTAAATAAAAATGATCTCTTTAAAGATGATTAAATGATCTTATAGAAACTTACATTTTTTCAAACAGTGAGAGTATAAATGTTATTTCAAGTATAGCGTACTAGTTGACTCTTTGTCTGCTCTAGCTTCAACCACCATGCAACATCAATTTTCTCCTTTAAAATATCCTGCAATATTTGATTCGGTATATGAATATGAATTTGAGATAGGGTCCTTCGATCCTCATATTGTTTTTCCTTTGATGATCATCTTAAAGGCATCTTTTCAATCCCTAAGGAGGTGTTTGATAGCTGACTTTTAATAGGGTTTAACCCTGAATTTCACTTGAATCCAACAAAAAAAAAAAAAAAGGATTTCCGGCACCTCCCATTCCGTCTTCCTGACAACCATTCCGTCTTCTCCACCCACCTTCCGTCTTCAAATATGGATTTCGTAAATCGCACAGAGAGCTGGATTTCATTGATTTCGCTCTGCGTTGCTTGCACCTTGGCTTACATCACGAGCCTCTACCTAAATCGGGATTTGATAAATCTTGTTAACGTAAATTTGATCCTGCAGCCAAACACCGCCTAATAGTGTATTGCCCAAATTCATCTGTGCACACACAGCCTGCATCTTGACTTACTATAGTGAAAATATAATGTTACAATTCAATAGTGAAATATTGTATTGCATGACTGTAATACTCAGGATCAAACATGGGGTCATACTTTTTTACTGGTTTGAAATAATAATAATGCAATATAGGACACAAACTACAAATCAAGAAGCACACTGATTTATGCAAACGACCCACCCTTGACAAGTACATAATACAAGCAAATGAAAAGAATTCCTTACTTGAGAGAACATGTGCTAGTGAAGGTGATGGTTCATATATATGTATGTATGTATGGACTTTCCACGAATTTTTTGGTTCAAAGAATTAGCTCATCATTTTGTTCAACCAACTGACATATCTCCTCTTATCTGTTTAGCTTATCCTTTCTTAGAAAGTTTAAGCTTAAATTTGGCCTGAAACAAACAGGTACCACCTTTGAGGCATAAAATTGTTTGCTTCTTTTTGATGTCACTTCCTAGGACGCCTTAAAATTGGGAAGTAACGGAACTATATTGATCTATGAAATATCAATTATCCAAAATGTCTGCTTATGTTAGTAACTGTATACTTGGCTTGACCTTGCAAATTTAAACCTGGCACATTAAATATTTCATTTCTCTTCGTTCTGTTTGTTAGTATATGGTGTTCTATCAAACCATGCCCATTAGCTGCATAAAATCCACACTAATGGATGGGCATCCTAATTTTATAGGCTTACTCTCCTTTATGTTTGGCAACTTGGTAAAATATTCTCGAGCCTATATTTTTTGTGGGGTAAAGTAGGACTAATTCTTTTATTTTCCATATGGCCTTTATGTTTTAGTTTCTTCATTTTTTTAACCTATTCATACACTGTGATAACTTCACAGCAATGGTGAGGCACAGTTCACATCTCTCTTTAAAATTGTATCTTCTCTGGAGCCCAAGCCTATGTAGCTGGACGTTGTTTACTGTAGGTTGATCATTGTTATTCAGGATGGAATTTAAGTCATGCTTGCTTTTTTTCAGGAGTGATGATGAGGAGGACGAGTATGATGGTTGTAATTCAGAATCAGGAAGACACCATTTCCAAACTTCTGCTGATTATTTTCATCCTGTTAATTTTGATGAAGTTCACCGTGGTTACTGCTCAAATGGAGTTCATCCTGCTGCAGAATTTAATGATTTTGAAGAAAAATGTACTCCTGCACTTGGTGCTTTGGAGAAGGATAAGACTGTTGACGAGTTGGGTCATGATAATAACTGTGAGTTTAATGTTTCAACTGCTATATATAGTATAGAAAGTACAGATAAGCAGCCTGTCGATATTGAGAACAATGAGCGGCTTTGGCTTCCTCCTGAGCCTGAAAACGAAGAAGATGAACGGGAGTCGTCTTTGGTTGATGATGATGATGGTGAGGACACTTTAGGAGAGTGGGGATATCTCCAATCAAGCAGTTTTGGCAGTGGTGAGTGTCGAACTAGAGATAGGTCTAGTGAAGAACACAAGAAGGCCATGAAAAATGTTGTTGATGGACATTTCAGGGCTTTAGTAGCTCAGCTTCTTCAGGTTGAAAATCTTCCTGTTGGTGAAGGGCCTAACAAGGATGGATGGCTGGACATAATTACAGCTTTGTCATGGGAAGCAGCGACTCTGCTTAAGCCCGATACTAGCAAGGGAGGTGGTATGGATCCTGGCGGCTATGTGAAGGTCAAGTGTGTGGCTTGTGGATCTCGCAATGAAAGGTCTGTAAAGGTTGTTGATGCCTTTTCTGCAGATTTTTTTGCTCAGTCTGTGGTGATTTTTCTTTCTGGATTTTCTGTTGCATTTCTTTGAGTGCACCGAATGTTGAAATTTTTATATTCTTAATTTCACTTAGAAAAAAATGGCGAATACATATTGGTCTTTTGGTGAGGCCCGCATTTGCATAGAAATTCATTTGGATCTGAGTTATGGCCTACAGTTTGTTATGCATACTCTTAAATTTATTCTCATCTCTGAGAAGGGATGCGAGCGCTGATATGTTTTATATGGTTTTGTTTTTTAGTAAGGTGGTAAAAGGAGTGGTTTGTAAGAAGAATGTCGCTCATCGTCGTATGGCATCAAGGGTGGAGAAACCTCGTCTTTTAATCCTGGGAGGAGCTCTTGAATACCAACGGGTGACAAATCTGTTGTCCAGTTTTGATACATTGTTGCAGCAGGTTTGTTAGTAGTCTCTCTCTCTCTCTCTCTCTCTCTCTCTCCCCT